GCAGCCAGGCAGAAAGGGACCTGGGGGTACTAATTGACAGGAAGCTCAACATGAGCCAACAGTGTGCCCAGGTGGCCAAGAAGGCCAATGGGATCTTGTCCTGTATCAAAAATAGCGTGGCCAGCAGAAGCAGGGAAGTGATCCTTCCCCTGTACTCTGCGTTGGTGAGGCCACACCTTGAGTATTGTGTTCAGTTCTGGGCCCCTCAGTTCAGAAAGGATATTGAGGGGCTGGAGCGGGTCCAGAGAAGAGCAACGAGGCTGGTGAAGGGACTGGAGCATAAGTCCTATGTGGAGAGGCTGAGGGAGCTGGGGTTGTTTAGCCTGGAGAAGAGGAGGCTCAGAGGTGACCTCATCACCGTCTATAACTACCTGAAGGGAAGTTCTAGCCAGGTGGGGGTTGGTCTCTTCTCTCAGGCACTCAGCAATAGGACAAGGGGGCACGGGCTTAAGCTCCGCCAGGGGAAATTTAAGTTGGATATCAGGAGAAAATTCTTTACAGAGAGAGTAATCAGGCATTGGAATGGGTTGCCCAGAGAGGTGGTGGATTCACCATCCCTGGAGATTTTTAAACGCAGATTGGACGTGGCACTGAGTGCCATGATCTAGTAAATGGACTGGATTTGGACCAAGGGTTGGACTCGATGATCTCGGAGGTCTTTTCCAACCCAATCGATTCTATGATTCTATGATTCTATGTCTGACCACAAGTAAGGAGCAGTACACCAGTACAGAAGAGGAATCAGAAGTCACAGTAAATTAATCTGAAATCTTCCTTCATTAATACCCTCTCAAGTCCCATGTTACAATAGATAATACAACAGATTTCTAGAAAGACTTGTACAATATGCCTTTTAAATCCTTCGGAGAGGGAAATTCCTGCAGTGATTCCAGACAAACCCAGATAAAAATTCATCTGAGATTTTAACAGCACTGAGTGTCTAATGATTTTCATGTGTCCCATTGAAAATATTATTATTTTTCATTATTTTGTCCTGTCAGTATGAACTACTGCCTTACCAATCATTCCCATGCCTGTGGTTGCATACTTTGTTGATTGCAAAGCCTGACACATTTCATTGGAAAATTCTCTATTTTCATTCAGGTTTTCAATGGAAATATGTAATAGTTCTTGATAAAGGTTGCTTCACACTATCTTATGAAACAACATCAAAAACCTTACTTAAATTAAGAATCTGAACTCTATCATTCCAGAACAATACAGTCAATGGAAGCATGGGAAATGGCTCTGAACTTTCATCTTTGCTTAAGAATGCACACATCCAGAACAGACACTGATAGAGGAGGAACATAGCAATTATACTTTCTTTGAGGTGCAAGAAACTTGACAGGTCTTTTGACACAATTTTTCACTTCCACAAAAACAACCAATCAACCAACGAACTCAAACCAAAACCAAATCAAGACAAAACCAACAAAAAACCCCACAACCTAAACCCCAAAGATTCATAAAGATGCCTCAGAGACAATAGAGTTTTCATTAGAGCGTGTGGTAGTTCATAAATTTTCTTGGTTTTGCTCAAAACTATCTATTTATTTATGTGTTAGCTTGTAAATCAGTGTTTTTAGTTATGACTACCTGTGAGTAACCATTCATTTTCAGCTTTGTGGTTACCATCATGGGGGGGGGGGATCAAATTATGACAAAAAGTTTTAGCAAAGGGTAAGATATTACACCTAGCTTCTGATAGGTGAACTCTCCAAAATGCAAGCTCTCTCTCTAGCTGCAGTTAACTACCCTGCTTCCTTTCTTCAAAGAGGAATAGGGAAGTAATTTAAATCAACAGAAGAAGCAAGGTATAATTCTTCTCATTCAACATGTAGAGCAGGTGGAGAGAACAAAAAGCTTTTACCTACATTCAATCCAGCTGGTAACATGCCTGAGCCAAAATCTAAACACAAGGAGTTCTCAAGGGACAACAGTGTGTCCCTATAGCAGAAATAATACTGCACAAAATAGTGTCTGGCCCCTCTTAGTTAAGGCATCCTCTGCTACTGAAAAGAGATACTATTTGAGTGTGTCAGAAACATAATCTCTAAGGGAAGTGTTAATGTAGTACTAAGTATTTTTATGCTATTAAAGTGCTAGTCAAGTGGGAAAAGTAAACCGTGGTGCACTGAATTATCAAAGAAACTTTTCTGAAGAAGATTGTGCTCTGACAGCCCCAGTGTGATAAGTATATCAAGATTTAGTGTCCATTTATTGGTTTCTCAGCACAAGAGAACTCCATGGCTGCCAAACCTGAATCATTACCCTCATTTTTCTTGATATAATCAGTATGAAAGTGGTGACTACCTGGATACTTTCCTGGACATGAGGTGTTCAAACTAAGTACAGCTAGATCACCATTATTGCATCATTGACTGATTATCATTCTGATTAATGTCTCTTCTTTATTTTCATTCCCTGTACTGAAACAATACATATGTCATTGAGTAATTATGTCTAGTGCCTGGTTCTGAACTGTATCCTTGACATAGGTACCTTTGTCACTGCTACTCTAGTTTCATCCTGTTCATTGAACCTTTTCCCTCAAAAACAAATAAATTGACACCTGGTGATATTTAACCAAACTCAGAGTCAAAAATTGAGAATATTCCCCTTATTCTGTTATGCGCAGTTCCCTTACCATTAGTGCTTTCCATGACCATTGCATTCTTCTCTCAAAGAATCTGCCCAGGGGGCTTGTGTATTGTGTTCTGTTTGGGTATATTCAAAATCTGCTTCTTTCAGCTTGAATGACAGGAGCATTGATGTGAAAGTTTGCTACATACTTTTAGGCTGACTAAATAGGCAATTCATATGGTCAACCTCTCTGCTCATGAGTTTGCCACCATTTTGAAGGTCTGAGGACAGCTTTTCCCATAGCAGCAAGTCCCACTTCCTACATCTAAATGAATAGCCATAAATGGCGCAAAGGATTCGATTTTCATTTGAATCTAAATCTAAACCATTCCTGCAAATTTTAATATTATAGAGCATCCAAACCCGTTATTAAGAAGTCACATCTGCAGTTTAATGAAGCAAACGTTTTAATAGCACAGTGTTAGACCCTTACAGCATCTATCCTTCCATTGTGTCATTTGCCAATATCTCCACTGATTATGCCAGCATACATCTGTTGTCAGTCTGATCAACTAATCTCTCATAAATCACCAGAGTAGGGGAAATTAGCAAATTCTTTTGCTAGGAAGTGTAAAATACATAAATACTGCTCCCATTACATAATACCTTATTGAAAAACATCCAAGCTGGTAGAGTGACTCAGGAGACCATGAAGTTCTCCACTGTCATTCCACCCTAATCATGACAATTTCGTTTTGATCCAAAATCATGCAATTTCTACTCACTATATTGAAAAGATGACATTTCACTGTTCAGTTAAATAACTCCAACAAAATTTGATCTACAGTTCAAATATTTCCATTTCAGAAATGTTGGTCATAAATGTGATCTTCTTGGCAAAATAGCAAAAAGCTATTATGAGTTTTATCTGTCAGATGCTAAATTTCATTTACCATTTATAATCAGAGACATCCTTCCCTTTGGTTTTATTTTAAAGGGAAGATCAATGTTGCAATAAACAACTCATGGGCATAGTCCATTGCTGGAAGTTGCTTAAGAAGGTGGAGTCACCCAGAGGTACAATGCTGGGTATCACTGTACACCTGCTTCAATAACTTAATTAAAAGAGAAAAGACTGACAAGATGAAGCAAGTGGCCTGGTAGAGTCAAGTTAAAACCTCTTCTGAAATGAATGCCACCTGAAGCTAACTCATGGAGAAATTATAAGTAACAAGCAAGGCAATGGGTGATTATTTAGCAAAGTATTAAACAAGGAGATCCACTTTTTGTATTTTGCAAGCTCTTTTGTACGAAGGGAAAAACAAGGCGTTCCAAAAGAGGGGTAAGAAAACAGCAACAAGAAAAAAGGATAAGAGAGAGAGAGTCAGAGAAAATAAGTATTACCCTGAGATCGTGTCCTATTTTAAGTTAAAAAAAAAAAAAAAAGTTAAAATTCTGAAGTGATAAATATTCTTCACTGGAAAAAGACCTTCATAAAGATCAAGTCAATTCCAGGGGTTTACTGGAAGTGATTATCTCTTGCTAAAGCTAAAATACAGTGCTTTTGTCTTTAATATGCTCTCCTGGATGTTACCATAGAGAAGCTAATGGAGGTCCTGTCTGGGCCATCTAGGGATGGAAGGATTTCTGATAAATGCATCGTGCTTTCTTCGAATTATGTACAGGCAGTAATAGTGGCTCCTAGGTGACATTTTGCTGATAAACCTGTGATTTCTCCCTGTATTGGGTTTGCATGGTAAGATTTTAGTAGCAAGGGAACTTCAGGAGTGGTTTTTGTGAGAAGCTGCTGGAAACTTCCCCTATATCTAAAGGAGCCAATTCCAGCTGGCTCCAGGATGGACCCACCACTGGTCAAGGCTGAGCCCCACATCTCTGCAATAAGGTATATAAGAAGGGGAAAAATAACCAGAAACTGCCCAACAGCAGCCAGCTGAGTGATGAGACTATGTGAGAGCACCATCCCTGCAGACACCTGTCGCGGTCCGAAGAGGGGACAGGACACGAGGAAGGATGCAAGCAGAGTTCTCTATTCAGGCGTGCACACACACTTTTTGTCAGCTCGGGCGCCGAAAGGGCCAGAACATAGGGCGGAGACAAGCAGGGGAACCAACCAGAATCGGACATGGGCTAAAAGGGGAGGAGTGGGGGAAGCAGGCAGCAGGCAAACTCATGACAAGCCTGGGCATGTGCAGTTGTGCACTGTGTACTGTGAAATAACAGTAAAGTCCATATGAAAGTCCTGCCAATTGCTGTATGCTTTTCTCCATGCCTGGAACTGTTCCCATCCTGAATCTTGCTTCTCTACAGACACCCAGGTCAGTGCAGAAGGAGGGGCAGGAGGAGCTCCTGGTGCTGGAGCTGAGATTCCCCTGCAGCCCGACGTGGGGCAGCTGTGCCCCTGCAGCCCATGGAAATCTTTGGCAGCCTGTGGAGGAGCCCAAGCTGGAGCAGGTCAGTGTCCAAAGGGGGCTGTGACTCTGTGGGAAGACTGTGCTGGAGCAGGCTCTGGGCAGGACCTTGGCCCTGTGGACAGAGGAGCAGGTTTGCTGGCAGGACCTGTGACCCTCTCTGTGACCCAGCCTGGTGCAGCCCCTTCCTGAAGGCCTCCAGCCCTGTCGGAGAGACCCACTCTGGAGCAGTCTGTGAAGAACCCACACTGAAGCAGTTCATGGGGGACTGTCTCCCCTGGGAGGGACCCCATACTGGGGCAGGGGAAGGGTGTGAGGAGTCCAACACCTTTGGAGGAAGGAGTAGCAGAGACAATGTGTGATGAACTGACCACAGCCCCATTCCCCTTCCCTCTGTGTCACTAGATGGGAAGAGGTCAGGAAAATCAAGAGTGAAATCAGGCCCAGGGAAAGGGAGAGGGTGGAGGTAAGATTTTTTTTTTCTGGATGGTTTTGTTTCTTATTATCTTACTCTGATTTGACTGGCAATAAATTAAACTAACTTCCCCAAATCAAGTCAGTTTGGCCTGTGACAGTAAATGGTGGGTGATCGCTCCCTCTCCTCACCTTGACCTACAAGTTTTTGTTATATTTTCTTTTCCCCATCCAGCTGAGGAAGGAAGTGACAGAGCAGCTTTGGAGGGCACCTGGCATCCAGCCAGGGTCAACCCACCACACCCCCCTTGTCCCTGGGTCAATTAGACCAACCCCAAGTGATTTAATGGGATCCTGTAGTGTTAGCAACCTCTTTCACAGCTCGGTGCCTCAGCCTCTTGTATCCGGGTAGAGTTAAAAAGCCAGCACGACCCACAAGCAGAGCTAAAGGAGCAGACTTTGCTGTGGCAGTGAGCTTTGCTCTCCGTAAGGATATTGCCTCGTCTCCCATAAAAGAAAACATGCATTGCAAATGCATGCCCTAAGAAATATTGAAACCAATACTGAATGCACTTCTGGAAACTTGATATTTTCATCACATGCCATCTAAGCTAATACACTGCACTGTTTACAGTCCTCCACTACAATATATTTTGAAATGATTACCTTGCTCTGAGTCATTTGTGTCATAATGCTCTCCATAGGTACCCATAAAATGAAAATGTAAGCCTCTTTTATTGGTGGCACTGCATCTTAATTGAAAATATTAAAGGCTATTGCTCTCCTACTGGCTTTTTTTTCTTTCTTTTTTTTTTTTCCCTTCTCTCTCTCTGTTTAATTGGCTAATCATATGATTTTTTTAATGAAATAATCATGAAAGAAAATATGAAGCTAATTTAAATTCAAACTGGATTTGGCGATATTTAAGTGATTATCCCAAAGTAGCAGAGGGTGTAAGAGGCAATAAACATCTGCTATGTTCATGACCATTGGCCTCACTGTTTATGAGCTTGGGAGATATTTATTTTCAAGAGACATGCTTCTCTTTGGGTTAGATTGTATTTTTTCCCCTTATTTTGTAGTTATTTTACCCCTTATAAAGTTTGAAAGCAGGGGTTTTTTGGAACTTTTTTGATCCTTCCCTTCCCTCTGCCCCCATCTCCTTTCAAATTAACAGCAGAGTGAATTTCAGGCAAATGAAAAACTTTTTCCAAGAAATCTTTCAGCCAGTAGGGCTGGATTTTAGCTGTTTCTACTCCTATGAAATGTGTAGACTGCTCCAGATTTATGGGCTGAAGAAGTTAATAGGAATTCTGTATTGTAGTTGGTCCATTGTCCAGCTGCCATTCAATTGTATGTGTTGTATGTAATTGCCAAGTAAGGCTGTAACCTTTTCCTTTTCTCTTTCCCTCACATGCAATAAGGACTAAGGGCAAAGTTGAGAAACAAGTTGTAATTGAAAGTTACAGGCAGCTTTCTGGTTTTGTCTTTTTAGTGAGGGTAATAGAAGAAAAAAATAAAGCAGGCTGTGTTTTGAGATGTTTAGAAGAGAATTTAGCTATTTAGCTAAGGAGACAACAAGACAGCTGCAAGTAGAAATAACCTTCAGCAGCTGAAGCAAAACAGTGCTTGTAGGAATAGGCAGTATATAGTATTTGATCACCATGTTTACTACATGTTACTATGAATATATGAATACTTCTTCAACTCTCAAACATTATAAGACATTTTACATGTCAATGTCCTTAGACATGATAAAATTTACTCCAGGTGCTTCTTAGGTATTCTCCATTTGAATTAAATCTATATTACTTTTAATCAGTTTTCTATAATGGTACTGAGATACCAATGTGGCAGCAAGCTGCCAGTTAGCATACAGTGACACAGGGTATGCTAGGATTGCAATAATTTCCAGTAATCACCTACTGGAAGTAAATATCAACAGTTTTATAATTTTAAGTGCAAGGGGTCCAAATAAACAACAGATTCAGTCTTCTACTTTTTACATATAAACACTATGCAGGATGCTGTGGTTCCTTTCTGTCAAACTCTGAAATGGTATCAGCCTGGTATCCTTTAGTTAGCTTTGCATAGAATCTCAGTCAATAATCAGTAATGATTCCATGCTTTAACTCTTTTTACATTTTGTATGAAATTTATAGTCAGGGGTACACACTGTATTAAATATACAAAATTCAGATTTCTTAATATTTTATCCCTGAGAAGGCATTGTAACTACCTGTGCTGCAGCATAAATTTATCATGCAAAGAAAGAATCTGAAAGTGTCCAAGAAGAAGTCAATTTTCCTTTTTCTGTAGGTATGAAAATGGATGCAAAAAAGCTCTATTATGGCTTATAGTAAATTTAGCTGGGTCGATATGGATCCTATAGTAAATATTATGAACTTCTAGTCACTCGGAACAAATTTGGTGAACATTTCTGGGTCAAGACCCAGGATTTCAGGTTTCCATGATTCATGAGTTCTGTAACTTGTTGGTAACTAGAGAGGAGTTGGATACCAAGATCATAGCAGTCGAAATTTCAGTCACTGTAGAGACCTGCATGAAGCAAGAATTTCTGAAGCAACATGAAGTCTTTGAGATTCAGGTTTATGGTTTCAGATTACTTTAAAAAAAATATTCTTTTTAAATTTTTATGTTTAACTTTTTCTGTTTGCTTTTATTTTCCTTGGAAATGAGCATAAGCATAGGGAAAAAGCTAAAAAATATTCTTAAGGTGACATTGCCATACTTTCTATGAAAATTTTACTGTTTCTATACTCAAATTCTATTGAGTCTGAAAAACTGAAAAGCTGCTTGGTGCTGTAAATGGGAAAACCTAGAAATGAGAGTTTTATTCATTGACAGTATTGAGGATGGACCAAGCAAAAAGGAAGGAGAATTGTCACAATGTGTTTCGTATTTTGCATGGAAATTTTATGGTCAAATTCCTATGTGAAAAAAAAAATATTGAAATGCATATAATTGCTCCAGGTGAAGGAAGTGTTATTATTTGCAATTTACAGACTGGGAGAATAAAGGTAGATATCTCATTCTTTGAAGTGACAAGAGGCACTGTGGGATCCTTGCTTAAGTGTCCTGAACACAGTACAAAGTGATTTGAACTGTTCACTGAAGATTTTACTGCAGGAATGAACTCTTCTATTTATCCTCTCCAAAAATAATGTTGGAGCATGTATTGGTGTAATTTCATTTTTCAAAGAAAGAGAAATCTAAATTGTAAAATTCACCTCCAGATTAGATTTGTGAAGTTTTCTAGCACGTGGAGAATTTAGGAAGTCAAAGTGCTAATATTCTTCCCCTCTTTTGATGACTTTCTTCCACTTTCTGTCTGTAACACTTATTCAAAAGAATGTCAGTGCAAAGAAAATGGTATTAGATAATAACACGATAGGTTTAATAAACATCCTCACATTACGGAACAGCTGACATTGTGAGCTGCATTTCTTAGGGAATCTGCTTATTTTCGTTGTTCTTGAACTGTTTTTTTTCTTTGTTTATTTGTATGTTATTATATTTTTGTGGTACAAACTTCTCAGGGCAGAATATCTTTGCATATAAGCTGAAGAGCAATTACTTTGCCCCACAAATTTCGAACAGATTGAAATAGAATGTACATGGGCAAAAGGAAAAAGAAAGATATGAAAAAAAAAAAAAAAGACACATTTTACTTCCACTTACATGTAGCTCATGCAAACCTGAACTGCAGCTCCAGGGCACAACTCGAGATTTGATATTAAAGTGTTTCATTTGCAACCAATTATGCTCGGGATTAGATTCCACTGCTGCCTCGCTTAGCAGTACAGTACCTTGATTTCGAACAACCAGATACAGGTTTGTTGGTTTTTTTTTTTTCCGTCTCCTCTCTCTTTTTCTCCCCTTTTCCTGCCCCTCAGAACCATCTCCACCTTCATCAAAACAATTCCATTTGTACTTATGAAAGCATTACAGCCGGTAAGCAGAGAGTACAGAATAAGCTTAACCATTGTAGCCTTTTTCCCATCTGAATATCACGAATCTTGTATCTCACCATGGTGTAAGGTCTCTGATTACATCAACCTCTCCAAATTATGCTGAAATGGAGGCCATTCAATTTGCTACAATCAGTAACTTTCGAAAGAGCCCTGCATAATTGATTTCACAGTAATATAGGCATAGGTGAATGAGTTCCTCAGCCTCGTTTATACAATGTTTTCTTTCATTCCAAAGTGCACTATTCAATAGAAATCACATTTTTTTCCCAACAGTTGGCAGGTAAAGCTTTTGGCTTATACAAAGTTGTGAGAGAGAAAGAGAGAACAGGGGGGAAAAATAGTATAGAAACATGAAAATTGAAATTAATGCCTCAGGTGAAATACCAAATGCAGACAAGCCTTGGGTGAAATGACTACTCTTTTCTGTGTATCTGATCAAGGTGGGAAATGAAGGACTCATACAGGATACAAAAACCTTTGAAAATTTAAATGCGGTCCAGAAGTATAGTTTGTCAGGGATGGTGGAGAGTGGGGTGTGTACAGGATTTCAAAGATGAAGATTTATTCAAGGTGGAAAACATCCAGGTTTATGAGCTAAAGAGACTACGGATGCCTTGTTGATGTTGGAGTTAGGGAAACAATGTTGGAAGCTGGGTAAATACTGTAGCCATGAACGATTAAAAGGGCAATTGCCTTATCACCAGCACATGGCACCATCTCTGCCCTTCTCTCCCCTTGCATGGAGCCAGTCACACTGGCTATTTCTCAGAGGACCAAATTCCTCAGCTCCAAAGATCCTGCTTTATAGACCTACAGTGGAAACTTCATGAATGATGCATCACAGTGCTTGTGGGCTTTCTTGAGTGCTTCCCACTGGGAAAGAAATCAGGACAACAGCAAAGAACAAATAAATAAATAAATAAACAAACACATAAATAATTGGTTGGATGGATGGATAAAGAAATAGGTAAACCCAGGTAGCAAATGTGAGGCATTAAAGTATTGCAACATGGCCAAGAGTTTAAGCTATTGAAAGGGAAAAAAAAAAAAGTACTCTTGAACATTTGCAATATAGAGAAAAGGTAGGAAAATTAGATAGGAGTATGAAAATTAAGAAAAAAAAAAGAGGTCATTTAAGTTGAGGGGAAAAAAGGAGATATCTCTAAAACCAATCAATCCTATCTACTACAATGCTCATTTCAGATGGACCAAATCACTGTTTTGAGGTGTTTACCATTCTACACTGACTCCAGAAGAAACCTGACTAACCGTGTCAGACATGAGTTTTGTATATCTAAATTTAAGCAAGTTCTCATGAGGTTTCACCAGGTTGATGTGTATTATACAGAAGGAAATGTGGAAGTGGTAATATCAAAGACAAACCAATGGATTAGATTACCTTTGACCTGCATCTGTTTTATTCTTATTCTCCCAGAGTTCAGAGATCAGCTGCAGGATTTATTGTTCTCATGAAAAGGATCTATGTAACTGGATATAGCTTTGTGTGTGTGTGTATGTGCATATGTACAAATTCCCTGCAAAACTAAAGAGTTGATTGTGAGAAGTCCCTGTTTAGAAAGAATGCAGCTGTCCCTGTATATGAGTACTCCCTTTTCTGAAGAGTTAGAGGGTTTATGTGATTTGTGTTACAGTTTGATTATAAAACACTGTAGAAACATGTTCATTCTATTCAAATCTAAGAAGCACTAAAGTTTATGCTGCTTAAATCACTTCTAAATCTGAACTATTTGGATCTCTGAATTTTATGATAATATTAACAGAGCTTCTGGTGAAGCCCATTAATTTTTTTTTGTATTGTTTAATTTTACATGAGTAAATATAATTACTCCTTTTGTCAGAAGTTCTAATACCAATTTATAATTCATGGAGTTAATTATGTTAACGAGGAGGTAATAATTTCTCAACTCTCTCCCCTGTAATTTTAAAGGATTTTGATTTTTTCCCTCTCTCTCTCATTCTCACCTCTTCTTTTACAATTTCTCTTCCAGCCATGAAGTGGGAGCATACACAATTCATCTGTGATATAATTATTTACCATGGCAACAGTTTGTGAATGGGATTGTGAAGTTGCGAATAACTAAAAAGAAGCTTAAGTAGAACAGACTGAAAAAATTATCCTTTTCTAAACAAGTGAAGAGTCCTTTGAGGTCGGGAAAGCTTTTGTCACTCCAATATGTTAAAACAGGAGGAGTTGAAAAGGATAGTTTTGGGGCTTATTTTTCCTCCTTTGTCAAAACCCTTGCTAAAATCTGATGAGCAAATGAAGATAAATACTTTGAATGTGTTTGTGTATGTGCAAATTTGTTTTGGTGTGTGTATGTGTGACTGACAATGAAGAACATTTGAATGGACTTGAAATGACAAGCACTAAATCTGACATTGCCCAGCAAGAACGAGAAAAGCTTTGGAAGATCAAATATTGAAAAATGATGAAAAAAAAAAGTTATACTTGTGGTGGTTGGTTTTTTTCTTGTTATAGTCCTGAGATAAGCAGATGGTTCAAACTGACACTGGTATGCAAGACCTCTAAATTTTAGAGTCAGAGGTAGATAGAAAAAATCTATTGAAAACTAGTGGTATAATCTTTGTATTTTGCTGAAGGCTGCTACCAGCAAATCTCTCCCTACAACGCATCCTATTCAATCATGTATTGAGTATTTTAGCACTGCTGCTCTAGAATCAAAGAAATCTATTGATGTTCTTCAAAGGCACACTGAGCTGCATATGAAAAGAACAACGATAACAACAAAAACTCATCCAGATGCACCATGTTTTACAGTTTACCCACCTGGGAGTTAAGTTAGGTGCCATATTTACCCTAACTCACATACATAATGATTTAAGAATCAGAATATTTCAGAGGAATAGATAAAAAGCCATCAATACATTTCATTGAATGTTAATTAATCCAGGAACACTTTGAAAAGTCTCCTGCCTGGTTGGTGGCATTGGGATTTTTTAATATGTTTCTCCAGCTTCCCTTAAAAGTCAGTCTTGATATGCCTCCACCCTGCAGAAATGTCCCACTTTAAGTGGCAGCTAAGGTGAGCCCCAAACAATAGAGGTCTTTTCACTGACACCAGTGGAGTCAGGATCACAGCCAGTGAATGAACATGGAAAGCAGCTGCATAGAAAAACATTTATTTCCCCTGGTAATCATGAACAATGATTTTATTTTTTTTTTTAATGCTGAGTAAGTATGTTATCTTAAATGATACTACTTAAAAGGATCCTTACAGAACCTTCTTGAGTTACAGAACCTTCTTGAGTCACAGAACAGAAGAAAAGGAAAAAGCACATTGATTCCAACTGTCCTGTCTGCTCTGAAAACATCTGGAAACAATCCTGAACAACCTGAAGCAGACGAAAAACATATCTTCCCCTGGTGATGGAGCATGTGATGCTTGGTTTCCTGCAGTTTTGTGGCATGCTGTTGGGCTTTCTGACAAGAGATGAGTTCTGACTGAAGATTTTTCTGAATGTGGGACATTAATAAAATTTGAATTGATTTTCTCATGTCTCAAGAGGTGAGTTTGCATGGCTGCTTATCTATCAGAGGGGTAAAAAAATGCATTCTCACTTCCTTTATTATCCAACTATTTTATAGAAGTTGAATATTTTCTCATAACTACATCAGGTAGTTCAAAAGACGTTATAAAGAGGTGGATGAGTAGACAGATATGCATTTATAAAAATATTATCACTTAACCTTGCTGAAATTTTTGTTGTTGTACAGGGTTTTTTTGTTTTGTTTGTTGGGTTTTTTCCTACCAACAGAATTCCTTATTTTCTCTTAAAGTGTCCCCCAAGTCTGAAATACAGTTCAGGATTTGTTTAATCTATGTAAGTGACAAATTCAGGGACCTGTGTTTCCTCCTTCATGGATTGGAATTAAAGTAATTATAAAATAGAAGAGGCAGTTTTCTAACTTTCTCAAAGTAGGGCTTGATGGTCAGATTTACAACTGCATTTAGGTTCCAAAGGTGCAGGGAGGCACCTAATAGGATTTGCAAAAATACATAACCACTTTTGGAGAGAAAATGGAATTAGGAACCTAACTCTTCTAACTGCATTTCTAGATCAACTTCAGATGCTTATTTTCATGTTTTGATACATTTTTAAAAGCTACCTTCTATTTCTGTCAGTGAAATATTCTCATTTTTCAGGCAATAATTCTGAGCAGGATGGACTACATTTTTTCTCTGTGTGTGTAAGAAGCACCTTTTTCATGAAACCAAAAGGTGTGTGTGTACTGTTGGGCATATAAACTTATAAGCAAGTCCTGATATTCACTTATACTCATAGAACAGACATTAAAGAAACAAAAAATCAGTTACTGCTTAAGAGTTTTCATGTTAAAAAAAAAAAAAAAACAACCTGTTGAGGCTGAAGAAAATGTCTCACTAACTTATTGCTTTATGCCTCAGATTATGTTGATTTTGGTAACTCACTGTTCTGTGAGTGGGAAAACTGGCTTCATTACAAGAGAAAAATGTGCACGTGTGTTCATGTTCATGAGTCTTGCACACTCAGCATCAAAAAAAAGATTAGAAATTTTACAAAGCTTTCAGCAGTTTGCTGCAAAACTATCCATGGGAAGAACTGACAGCACAGTTCCAGCTGAGGAAAAGAGATACACCATTCAAATGTCATTATCAATACTGGTTTAATTGCTGTATGTATATGAGAAAAAAAAATAATCCTCTACTCTAACAGCAATGAAAACCTTTCTTTGAAAGGCCACCTCATTGGCATTTTCAAAAACAAAAATGGAAAAACATTTGTCCATGTCTTGGGATTTCTTTCCAGTAACCAGAATATCAGACATGTTTCTTTCAAGTACCTGAAGAGTGTTTTTTTATTTCAGTTCCTAAACACATAGATTTATATTGCAAAGCAGTGAAGATTTTAGGATGGGAAGAAAAGGGGAGGTTGGTTCTTTATTTTGAAGTCAAAAAGAAAAGTAATAAGAAAGCAGATTACTGCAAGGGCACAAGACACAAGGGAATGTCTTGAGAACTATTTATGTGACGTGTGTTTCTTGCTCAGTTATGACAACTGAAATTCTGAGCTTCATCTTTTGTTCATGGACCTCAGGAAAAGGAAAAGAAGGAGATTTTGGTACTCATGGTGTTTAAGAGATAGTTACAGCCTTAATGGGCCTTTACACCAATTTGAGTTTCTTTATTTTTCTTTCTTGTGATTCTTAGAAATATTGGGGCTGAGAGAAAAGTTTTCCAGTATCCCTTCTTCTTAATTATTTGGAAATTCTATATATTGGGGTTAATTCTTTTATAAGCTTCTTGTGTGTATTTTATACTAAAGTAGATTTCTTTGCATGGTGGCTTCTTTATGGAGTCATTTCTCCTCCCTTTATTTCTCATTTAACTCACTTGAGTGTTATAAAGGGATCAAACCTACCTCTATGGATGTCTCTGGGACTTCAGGCTGTTCTTTAAGACCAGAATTTCCTGCTCTTCAGTGTATATTGCCCATCATTGCAAGCTTCAAAAGATACCCCACTGGTGTGTTGCCTTTACCAGCGCATTTGGAAAGCCCTAGTCAAGAAACAACGTTCATTATTTAATGCTTAAACAGGCATGGATTTCATTTTCATAGGTGTTACTTTCCAGATACTAATACTAAGTCAAATACAGTATAAGAATCAACACCAAAATGCATTAGTTTCTATCATCCTTTCCAGCTCAATTTAAGATTCAGATACTCAGGTCCCTAATCATTTGAACAACCTTGTGTTGTGATGAAGAAAATCTAATGGATATCTCCTAAACTGTCCCAGTAATTATTAGAAGTGGCTTGGGCCAAAGGTCTTCCTTTTTGAAACCATGCAAAAATGCATAACATATGGCACCTAAGGAGTTAATCAGACATGTCTTCCTTGTGAAAAATTTTATTTTGTATCATATAAGTTTAGTACATATATATAGAGAGAAAGAGAGATGCAGAACCCATCACCAAGTGGTAATTACATGAAATGCAATAACACACCAGGTCTTAAAGTAAAGTTTAAATCCATTTCTTTGCCTTGGTTGTTTGTGTAAGTGAATTTGACCTTCCCTTCCTGTTGTCTAAAATCTTCCTGTTACTTGTGTTGTTATAGGTTGTGGCATCTGTATAGCATTTTCCTCTTCCTTATATCATGGCAACAAGCAAGTTAACAATTGATTGGTAAGTCAAAAATGTCTTTTCCTCAGTCACAGTGGATTTTTGAAAAGTCTGTTGACACAAGATTTCTTCCTTCTCATCTTTAGAGATTACTTTTGTTAAAAAATAAAACAAAAAGAAAGCAGAGATTTATTTGACTCTGTTACATTAATCATTAAAGATAAAAAAAAAAGTTTACCCTCCTTTAATTTGCAATCAGTGCTGAACAATAAATCCAAGTAACCTTTCTCTTCAATAGGAAAAAAAATAATTCAGAACTGTAGCCTGTAAATAATTATCAGGAGTTTGGCTGTACTGGCAGGGTGCAATGTACAAGATTCAATTTTAACTAGAGATTACAGCCCAGCAACCTTGTAGCCCTGAATGTCAAACAGTCATGTCACCTTCTCCTGTCAGGAAATGTGTCAGGACTCACATAGGCAGGGTGACTTTTCACCAGAGGTAATGTATCTTATATACAAAAGAGTTGGGAAAAAAAAGTCAGATGTTCGCTGGCCCACTCCTCCCCCTCCTCTTTCAAATGAAAACAGGCAAAGCCACTTCCCAGCAGGATATTCCCTGTTGCAACCCTTCTCCTCCAGGCCACCATAATCACAGGTAGCACTATGACAAGTGGGATTCACTCTACACTTCATACCAGGATGTGGTGAACTAAACATTCTAGGTGATATTTTGTGATGCCTGAATCTCATGGGTCATCTTTCCTTGTTCTTGAGTAAAATACAAAAGCAGAGGAGAGGTAAGGGGAAGAAAAAAGAACTAAAATTAAGAGAAAAAGGAAGGGAAATTTCAGGAAAGGAAATTTCAGGAAGGGAAATTTCAGGAAAGGAAATTTCAGGAAATTTCAGGAAAGGAAAGGAAATTCCAGGAAAGGAAATTTCAGGAAAGGAAAGGAAATTTCAGGAAAGGAAATTTCAGGAAACTTCAGGAAATTTCAGGAAAGGAAATTTCAGGAAAGGAAATTTCAGGAAAGGAAATTTCAGGAAAGGAAATTTCAGGAAAGGAAAGGAAATTTCAGGAAAGGAAAGGAAATTTCAGGAAAGGAAAGGAAATTTCAGGAAAGGAAAGGAAATTTCAAGAAAGGAAAGGAAATTTCAGGAAAGGAAATTTCAGGAAAGGAAATTTCAGGAAAGGAAATTTCAGGAAAGGAAATTTCAGGAAAGGAAAGGAAATTTCAGGAAAGGAAATTTCAGGAAAGTAAATTTCAGGAAAGGAAATTTCAGGAAAGGAAATTTCAGGAAAGGAAATTTCAGGAAAAATTTCAGGAAAGGAAAGGAAATTTCAGGAAAGGAAAGGAAATTTCAGGAAAGGAAAGGAAATTTCAGGAAAGGAAATTTCAGGAAAGGAAAGGAAATTTCAGGAAAGGAAATTTCAGGAAAGGAAATTTCAGGAAAGGAAATTTCAGGAAAGGAAATTTCAGGGAAATTTCAGGAAAGGAAAGGAAATTTCAGGAAAGGAAAGGAAAGGAAATTTCAGGAAAGGAAATGTGAGGAAAGGAAAGGAAAGGAAAGGAAAGGAAAGGAAAGGAAAGGAAAGGAAAGGAAGGAAAGGAAAGGAAAGGAAAGGAAGGAAAGGAAAGGAAAGGAAAGGAAAGGAAAGGAAAGGAAAGGAAAGGAAAGGAAAGGAAAGGAAAGGAAAGGAAAGGAAAGGAAAGGAAAGGAAAGGAAAAAGGAAAAAGGAAAAAGGAAAAAGGAAAAAGGAAAAAGGAAGAAAAGAAAGAAAGGAAAGAAAAAGTGAGGGCTTCTATGAAAGGATTGAAGTTTGGTTTGGCTTTTTTTTAATTTATATTTTATTTTATTTTATTCATTCTTAATTCTTAGCATGATTAGGAGTAGCTAATTGTTTTACATCTTAAGATACTGCTCTTCCAAGAGCTAGTTCACTGTATGCAACTATTTAAAACATTTGAATATGCTTTCTGTGTGCACGGTTTTCTGCTTCAGTGTCCTCCCTTGGCTGCCTTTTCCTAGCCTCATTCTTTAATGCAAAGGACATTTGCAATGAAAATGGGATCTCTGCTTCTTAACAGTTCATCTGCTCCTGCTGCTCATTTCCCCACCTGAAGTCACAATCCTCCACTTGTGACCTCACCGCAGGTTTCTGTGGTGAGAGGATTATGTTGTTGCAAATAGAGGTTTATAACTTCAGGAAGAGAATGAGCAGCCCGAGCAGATGGACTCCTTTGAAATGAAGATCCTGTCTTCATGCAAATGCTGTGAACGATAAGAGGACGAGAGGGAGAAGTGGCAGAAGCAGGATTGTTTCTAAATACAGAGCACAATTACTCGTTGTCCCATTCCATGTCTGGAGCAGGGTTAATAGGAGAGACCCTGTAAGTCCTGGAGTGTTTCAGAGAAGTGATCAGCATTTGCACAGATTTTAAAGTAACCTTCAGACAGCTCTGATACGTCCCTTAGTACTGCTGGTGTCTGCCTGCTATTTTGGGTGATACCAGATTTAAATCAGGATGGTCTATTGAAAGGAAAAATAGCACAAGTCTTTATTGCTTGAAATAAGAGCCAATTACCACAATCAGGAACTGTAACTAACTCACATACTTTGTGGTTCAGGCTCACAGAGGGACGCTTAGCAGTGAGTCACGCTGGCAGTGAGGGCCATTCCAGGAGAACTGTAGGGCAAGTTTCTCATAACTGGGTAGATTTTCTGGTGAAGCAGCTTTTTAAGCCATGTTTCTATCATGCCATGGGTATTTTACCGTAAAAGTATGCAGCCTCATTCAGCTTGATGCAAGTGCCTGATGCAGTGCAACTCCTGCCTGTGTAGTGGTGTCCAGAAGTTGCGTTAGCACAACCCTGAACCCAATTTATAAACTCCATCTCTTCAGTAGCTGAAGCAGCAAAGATTGCTTTCAGTTGCAGTCAGCTCTGGTGCCTAAATTTGCATCCCCTGTGCCATGTTCATTGTGTGAATATGCCTAGAGACATACCTTTAACCTCATTATGTATTTGAGAATGAAATGACCTTTATCTGTATAACAAACCATTAGACCCAGAACATCCTGCCTTGCTGGGGGCAGTGATCATCAAACTCAGGAGTTGCTTATTACTACAGACCTGCAACCATCAATTCTTCTGAACTATCTGAGGAACACAAAAACACTGTTATTGACACTAGGAACAAAAATCTTAGCTTTCTTGTCTCCCAGCATGTGAGACCCAACAGGTTATCAGTGAAGAGGCATGAAATTATTCTGCAACTGGAGATTGAGCATACCACAGGTTTCTCCTCTTGTTTGGACACAGATCCACAGGCTTTCTCTTGTGATCCATGGTTCCACAGAAACCAGAGCTCAGTGGCAGGTTGCCTGGCTGTGGACAGGCACATGGGAACATGGAGCACACACTGCAGACCTCATTGCTGTGGCATGTGAGACATGAGCCAGACACAGTCTTTTTGACATGTTTGTCTGAGCATATCTCATTTTTCATCTGGTTGAAGCTCACAAGAGGGAGCTGCTAGTAAGTTTTGGAGATGATGAGATAGAGTTATGTGCTCTACAGCCACCTAAGAAATCAGTTGAGCGTAAGTCACCTAACTGAACTCCAGTTTTAGTCAATCACTGCTTCACTATCCCTTTTACTTCTCTTTTATTGCTTTTACATCTGATTTTCTGCAGAAAGTTGTTCAAAAAAATATGAAACACTCATCGATAAAACAAAAATAATAGTGAAATAAGATCCCTAGTTGCAGAAGCTCCCAATGCAGCAGTAATTTGACAAAGAGATAACTGTCACGTATGCATCATCCATACTGAATAATTTTATATGTGTGCATTCTGATTCCTAGGAGAACATTTTTTTTTTAAATTCTTGATTTCACCTCTTTGACTGAGGTATTTACATAACTTGTATTACCTGCATGATTTTGCAGATCCTCAAAAGGATCTTGGGAAAGGAAACACGCATCTTAGATTTATAGAGAGACTGTACACTAAGTCCATTGTTTATTACAGGCACTGGCTTTTCAACACCTTTAAATTTAGTCTCTAAACATCTATTCTTCCTCGTCTTGTAAGTCAGTTTCTTGGACAGGGATAGGCTTCTGGGAGGAAGCCAGGCTATGAGTGAACCACAGGAGAACCTTTCTCATCTGTCCATATCAAGTTAATATATAAATAAATAAATCTATACTGAATGCAACCCTGTTGGGAAAAATTGAAAGAAAAATTCTGGAAGCGGCACTGAAAGGGGAGAATGTCAAAAAGCTTTGGACAAAACTTTCAGACAGAGGTAGCTTCCACTGCTGAGAGGTACGATGTGTCAGTATGCGTGACACTATCATTGGATACATCAAAGAGTGTGTTAGAAACATTTCCGCTACAAAAGGGAACACTGGTTGTGCCTCCCTGAAAAGCAATGGCATTGACACAAAAGAGCTTGTCAGAGATAGCAAAGGGAAATGCCAGCAACAGTTTTGCAAATATAATGATTCCATCAGTACATTGGCGAGACGGGCAATAAAAATGATCAGGGTAGTGCTGGTCACATCATTTTATGTAGATAACATTCGCTATGAATTTAGGCTCTTCTGTTCCTTAAAAATCCCTTACAAACTGGTGCTGATTGATAGGAAGCAATCATTATTCATTGAGCTGATGACTCAGAAGGTCCATGAGGTCAACCAACCTGACCTCAAAAGAGTAATGGATTATTATAACAGCATCTAGTTGCATTATCCAAGTTCAGAGTCTTGTTGGAGTTACTATGTACGGATGAACAGTTGTTGGGCCGATGAATTTATAATCAAACTGGATAAAATGTAGGAGATGGAACAGAGTCATGGTGTCAGAGTAGATCAGCAGTAGCTTTTCAGTCTAGCCAAGAAGTCAAGTTTTCTGGCTTGAAGACTAATGTATAAGTCTCTGGAGTCTTTTATCCTTTTGAAGATACCCATCAGTGAGTACTGCATAATGTTTCTGCTGCTTATTCAAGAGATCTTTGACAGATGTTTGGGTTTGGTTTGGAGGGGGGTTTTTGTTGCTG